GTTCATCTTTGTCTATTTGGCGACCGATTTTCAGTCCATCGCGCAACTGAAATGCATAAAAAAGATTAGTTCTTACGGCTTTAAAATTTTATTTATATGTTTTTTAAGTACAAAATGATAGAAAATAATTGTTTTGACATTGTTTTGGCCGTGTTGCCATAGCGACTTAATTCGGTACTCCTACGGAGTACAATTAACGCTATAATTGTACTCCTCTCATCAATCAGAGTCGAGTAATTTTGTTGAGTGTACTATAATATGCGTAATGATATCCATTTCGAGGTATTCCTTCCTAGAATTTTGTCTTGCACGTCTCTTTCTTAACTTCTCCTTTTCTTTCTGTGTTAAGCTGAAATTTTGCCTCAAATTCCTTTGTCTTTCACATTTATTTTCTCTTTCCGTGAAGTTTTGCCTCAATTTCCTTTGCCTTTTACGTTCATTTTCGCTATGTCCCGTCAAGTTTTGCCTCATATTCCTTTGTTTTTCACGTTCATTTTCTCTTTGTTCATCCGTGAAGTTTTCCCTCAATTTCCTTTGTCTTTCACGTTCATTTTCTCTTTCTTCATCCGTCAAGCTTTGCCTCATATTCCTTTTTCTTTCACGATCATGTTCTCCTTGTTCATAGTCCAGCCTGGATTTGCGTTTTCTCTCTCTCTCTGCTTGCCGCTTTTCTTCGGTGAGATTCCTTCGTCTTTGCCTTTCTTTTTCACGCCTCCAGAGCTTTTCCTCTTCCGAAAAAACTTTTTTACTTCTGGCCTTTCTTTTGGCTTCATTCTCCCCTGAGCTTTCTTTCGACATATCGATTTCGGAAAGGGGTTCCATCGTAAATAGAGTAAATATAAATATAAGTATAAGCTTGAATACAAAATTGTGTTGTTATCTTTCGGTATTTCGTAATAATAGGTGTAAAAATTTTTTTTACAAAACGCATATATTTGTACGGATTTACCTTTATGTGTACCCTGATGTTGCAACGCGTCGACATTCCCGCCAAAATAAAAAGATAATCTAACCAGCCAATCGGGATTCTTGTGTACACGGACGGAAGTGACGTCAGCCAAGCCATGAAAAATCAACTCGATGGTTTACCATTTTTTCTTAATGATAATAATAATAATAATAATGATGATGATGATGATGATGATGATGATAATAATAATAATACATTACACACACCGAACGCATAATTTATTACTACCATACTATGTCTATTCTTTGCGTACACATTTACAGTGTTCAACTTACCTATAAAGAAAAAATATCGCTCTGGGATCCTCACTAGTACCCTACATTTCATGTTCTGGCTGCGTTACCAGCGTGTTTGGTCCTTGTTATCATGTGGTGTAGTGGTCAACACATCGGACTGGAATACCGAAGACGTGGGTAAGATTCCCCGCGCTAAAGGCATTTGATATTTTTCTCTTATTCTCTCTAGAGTACCCAGTGAAGTTAGGCGTACACCACAGGTAACCAAAGGCTTAGTTCTTTCCGTTTGTTCTTTTCCTTTTTCCTTCCTACATTCCTTCTTTTTTCGTGTTATTTGATGCTTATTTGTTACTTCCTTTCTTCCTTTCCTTTTTTCTTCCCTCTTTGCCGTTTCCTCATTTGTCTTCTGTCATTTCATTGGTACTTTTCTTCGTTTTTCATACTTCTGTCTCGTTTAACTTTTCCTATGAAGCCAAAAGATTTATTTTTCAATAAATCAAGAGTTGCCCACGTTCACGGCGTAAAGTTCAGTTATATTTTGCTACTGAATTAGGCTGTCTAAACACCGAGTTATCCTAAAATGAAGGTTTATTAGAAAATAGGAAAATCTTTAAAAAAACGAAAATATAACAACTGTATAACTTAAAAGGGTGTCTCCAAAAAATAAAAATATTTTAGTATATAATTAGCGTAAGTACAGCCTCTTCCCACCCCTACCCCTACGGGGTGGAAACTTGGCGGGAAAATCACGCGCGCGCGTTCATGAAGAAGCGCGGGAAAACAAAAACATATTTTTTCCCAAACTTTATTCATGTCTAAAATTATTTAGGTTTCTTCAATATTTTTCCTCGAGAAAAACGTTAAAATCTATCTTATTTATTTGGATATTACAACGAAGACCTTTCGACGAATTTCAGGTTACATTTAAGGTATGTTTTCCACTATTTTACTAAACTTTTTATGTTTCAAATTATTTTTTTTTTCAATCTCAATCGTATTATCACTCTATATAAATCCCATATAAATCCCATATAAGCAACAATTGTATTATTTTCAAATTCTCTTTCCTGCCCAAATTAAAGATTAATTTGGATCGTTTCCATTCGCATTCTTTCGAGGCAAAACTTTGGCTTATGGAATCAGTCCTATAGTTTGGGATGATATAATTAATCTGCAATAGGACTACATGCCTATCCGATTTGGAAATAATTGAATTCAAAAAAATCTTCTGACTACCAAATTGGACTTGGCCTATCGGCCTCTCCAATTTTGTCAGTCCTCGGAATTTTTTTCATCCAATTATTTTCAAATTGGATAGCATGTAGTCCTATTACCTATACTAACTTAAGCTTACATCTTTTTGTTTTCTATTATTTAAGCTTATACTAAGCTTAGTTAAATATTGTTCGTCTATATTTCTATCAAAGAAGTGCAGTTTAAAACTATTTCATTCTTAGACAAAACTGGATTGGAAAGTTTATAATCAGCGCACAACCGTTTTTGTCTCTACTTTTTACTGAATAACTTTAATTTTCCGTCTATTCCGTGATCGTTTTTATTTCACGTGTCGTTTCGATGTTTGCTTGTTCTGGCATGATATCTTATTCCATATCTTCTTCTTCATTGATCTTCTGATACTCAAGTCTATGTACATGGCGTCTCACCATCCTTGAAGCGACTTCCAAGTCAATTGGTTCATTTTCAACCAAGCACACGTCATTTCCGCCATATTTTTCACACAAATTCTCAACGGATATGTCACTCTTTTTTTTGAAGAGATCCCTTTCGGCTGTCTCAATGGAATCCAGGCTTGCAAGAGCTTCGCTTGGAATGGCCGGTCTTTTTCGGGAGCCACATAATCGTAGATTGGCTTGACTGCGTTCATGAATTGCATTAGCCTTCAATCGTACAGTCATAGCTTGAACAGTATCGATTGCATCTTCAAGATCGTTAGCTACTGCTACTCTTTGAGATATCTGCGAGATAGGCGCCACCAGGATTTCGCCATTTTGTCGAATGCCATCAATCCCAATGGCTTTTTGGTTCAAGTTCTGTTTAAGGTACCTCGCGAGGTGGTTGATATTAACTATACCATATTTGCGGTTGATTTCATCAATAAGCGCCTTACAAGCAACTTTTCCTCGGTTTTCAATGGATACATCGTGCTTAATGATGCATGTTATTATCTGAAACAAAAAGGAATATACCGACTTGAGCTTACTAATTTAAATTCTAAACGTAAAAAATTACATTCATAGCCTGCTTACCAGGCGTTTGGGGGTAGTTTTTCGCTACTTTCGTCTTTTTTTTCCATTGCTGAACATTGCCGATCGAGGCCAAGACGAACGACAGCACGAAAAATAACACAACCAACATAATTCAAAACCTACATTCACTAAAGGAGGGGTCCCCATTTACCCAACACGCTAAATTCCAATTCCATCTGTGAGTTAGCCATGCCTTTGCTTAGATCAGCGCAAAGGTCGTTTCAGGGTTCTATCTGTGAGTTAGCCATGCCCCGAGTTAGATCAGCCCATAGGTTGTTTCAGGGTGCAATCTGTGAGTTAGCCATGTCCTGACTTAGATCAGCCTAGAGGTTGTTTCAGGGAGTCAATCTGCGAGTTAGCCATACCCTGACTTAGATTAGCCCAGAGGTTGTTTTAGGGTTCAATCTGTGACTGAGTTAGCCGTGCCCTGACTTAGATCAGCCCAGAGGTTCGTTCCAGCTTCGATCTCCGTGCCGTGCCGTTACAAAAACCAGCCCAGTGTTATTTCATACGACTAGAGCTAGGGGCCGATCAAAATTTATTTTATGCTTCGGGAGAAAATGAACCTGTATAATCGGCATCCCTTCATAACCTGCATCCCTTTACATCATAAATAAAGGACATAAGACATGGCTGCCATACTGGCTGACAGCCATGAAAAAAGACGCCAAGACTAAATCGTTTGTCAAAGTCAACTAAAATTGCGGCTATGACGTCGCATTCTCTTCAAGAATTACCGCACCCTAACTCGTTACCACTCTCTTACCTTATCCAAAGAGCCGAGATCATCTACTTCAAGGTAAAACCCACCACCAAGAGCTGCAACACCAGGCAAGAAATGATTCTCCCCCTTTGATGATAGCTGTGCTGTGTTGATTCCAATAATGTACAATGTAATTCCACTTCTAGCCAAGGCATAACACTGCTTTATGATATCGTTGTCATGGGAACATCTGTAGTATTTGGGGTCATATGACTTTGGGTTCAAAAAAGCTGGGATGGATAACAATTT